AATCCATCAACCTGTCACAAGTACTAGTGCACTCATCTTGTTTCTAGGCAATGTTTCTTACATAACTAGGCTTCTGACCTTGTTTGCTAGTTCTCAAGCTCATTTCACAAGCTTATTTCACAACACAGGCATCTTCTTGTCACCTCCTTTTTATATATCATTGATTGCTTACATAGACTTAAAAAACTGTTAAAACTTTTAAATTCTGTTTTATGCATTTTCAACTAATAAAACCCTGAAGCAATTGTAAAATTTCCTTGAAAATTTTCTAGTTGCTTCATGAAAGACAATTAGAAAGACAGACAGATGTTCCCAGCAAGTAAAATGAGAGGTGGGGGGGGGGGAGAGCAGATTTGAATACTAACACCTCTATGTCATTCCTCAAGATGCCCTGACAGTATCTTTCAAAATTGGTAGAGATAGGCATGGGGAATACATATGAATCCTAGGAGTGGTGACAAAGGAGACTCATGTCAGATCACTAGCCTCTATATGTCACTCTCTGGAGTGCCATCAGAATAATTTTGAAGTTTGGTAGAGATAAGCACAGGAAGCTCATTGAGGCTCCAGGGGTAGTGGCATGGAATTCAAATCCAAACACTGATCCATATGTTACTCTCTAGGATTACCTTTGGGCCCCCAGGGGTGACATAAGGGGGCAGATCTAAATGCTTACCCCAATATGATGTTCCTTAGGAGGGCCTCAAGGGTGCATGCCTAGTTTGATTGAAATTGATCAAAAACCTATTGCCGTAAAAGGTGAACCTACAAACAGTGGTCCTTAAGCATAGGTCACGAGCATCAGGTCTGAAAGCCATCCACATAAGTTTGATTAGGATTGGTCCAAAAGTTTAGATGGGAAAAGGAGACACACTGATGACACTTCTGGTTTATGTATGTATATATGTATAAATGAATTTGTAGAACTCACTTTGTAATCTTGTGCCAAGCCTGAATTTATTGTCACTTGAGATTGTTAAAATATATATTGAGATATCTTGATCTGCAAAAAAGAGGTTTTTCTACAATCTTACAGGTTACCTGTGCTCTCCAGAGGCCAATATTTATGGAATTGATTTTACTCGCTTCAAAATTCGGGATATGGAAACAGGAACAGTGTTGTTTGAAATTGCTAAACCATCTGTTCCAGGTGAGTATATGTCTATATCTCTTAATATATATATATATATATATATATGTGTGTGTGTGTGGTGGT